CCCCAAAACCCCAAAACCCCAAAACCCCTCCTTTTTGGAAAAAATTAATTTTGGGCCTGACAATCTCAATCAAAATAGGAAATAAGTTATTATGCGAGGGATCTCAAAGTGTGGAAACAATGTCTTAATTCTCTTCTCTGGATGAGAGAAAGCGTACTTTTTATCATTCCAATGCCTTGGGCATACTTTCAATGGTCTCTGAGGGACCATACTTGAATTTTGTTCAATTGCTAGATTAATAAATTTGTCATTAATTTAAAAATTACCTTCGGTTCGGTCAGAGTACTACACTCTGAGCTCAAATTTTCAGATTGAGCTTTACTACGAAATTTTTCAAAAAGATGCTTGATCTGGCTAATTTTATCCTTAAGCGTCTGATCTCTCAAGTCAACCGATACCCGAATTGGTGAAGGGCTTATCTTTGGCATTAAGTATTTAAACTTTTCCTTCTCTGTGCTTGCTTTTAAATCCTATAAGAGTTGTCATTGCTAAGTACCATTGAGACACTTTTAGGATGACACTTCTTCACTTTTCTAGCTGAACTCTTTGATAAGTACTTATTGTGATATTTATAGAAGTTCCTATAAATATCAATTATGCATTCTTGGGAAATTTAATAATCAATTATGATGAGATGATCTGAAAAGGGAAGTAGCATACAACTTTTTCTTGGTCAATTTGTTCTTAGATGCACTCGAGCTCTGGTAATCAGACTTTACACTTGTGCATGCTCTCTTGATGACCTTCTTTTTCTAAAGAGGGTCATAAACTTGTTAGGTTTATGGGGCTTACTAATGACTCTGTGGGTTTTATGAGCTTGCTGCCGATAATATTCCTAAAATAAATAAGAATATTCTTATTTAGAGGAATTTTACCTATCCTTCTTCAAGCTTGGGCCATTGATTGACACTTCTCTAGACTTATTTTGGGTATCATTAAGTCTGGTGTTGCTTAAAACCTTATTTTCTCTTATTCTCATGATTGCTTATGTTTGAGTTTCTAAGCAAAATAATGATGAGATATCTCATTTAGGAACAAATTTTAATGACTTAATTTCAATGTTGCCAGCCTATGAGAAATGGCGAACTGCTTTTCCCAGAATAATGATGATAGCGCAAAGGATTAATAAAACATGTCTTATTGAAGACATTAAAAACTAGCTTACCTGAAGGTTGTGTCTAATGTAGAGGTACTACTTTTATTGCTAAAAATCTTCTGTAATGCGTGTATTTCATGCTTTGAGTGAGCTCCAAGCATTGTCAAGTTACTTTTTCTTTGCTCCATAACCATACTGTCTAAATAAAAGTGATCGAATTGGAGTTTCCAAACAAAGATTTTCTTCCAGGTTGGTATTGATCTACTTACTTTTTCCAGTGAGAACTATAGAGTTCTTTTTTACTTTCTTCATCATTTCTCTAAAAATTTACAATAATTAAATTTGGAATAGGGGTTTTGGGGTTTTGGGGTTTTGGGG